TTGAGCATTTCCCCGGTCGACTGCCTACAGTTTTGAAACTACAGGATATGATTGAACGGGCGTGGGATCTGGGAATCAATAGCAATGGCAGGGCCGAGACTGGCGGGATAAGAGGCACTAGGAAGTATATCGGGACATCTGAGGTATACTGTCGTTCTAAACAACTTCTAATTTCGGTTGGCATACTAACTTGATAATAATTATTATAGGCTCAAGCTCTATTTTTCAGTCTAGGAATCAAGTAAGTTCGTTTCCAGAACAGTCTAAGGGCTTCAGAAATATCTAACCTGCGTTTTAGCTGTGAGCCAGCGGCCTTCAGTCCTACCGAGGAGCGATCAGCAGAAGAGATATTCATGGAAGCGGTGGGAGATTATTTTCTTCAGGCGCATAACTTATCGACCGATGAAAAGGTTCTTAAAACTGATCTACCGCCTATCTACTTCCAACATCCAGGTAAGGACACAACAAATAGAGCATTTTTATCCAGTACCCTTACCCAACTCTAGGTCACTCCCTTACAATCGTGGGATTTGAGCTCCGGAAAGATGGCTCGACGAACCTTCTTGTGTTTGACCCAATGTTCAAAACGTCTCCAGCCATACAACGATTGATTGGCACAAGGGTCAGCTGCCCAAACCCGGAGCGAATTTTGAGAGCACATCGAAGAGGCACACACTATCTGCGACGGTATAAAGAGTTTGAAATTCTGAAGTATGAGAGCCAACCCTCTCATGAAGCTCCGCTCTGCATTGCTAATTTTAATGCAGGCTTTTACCACCGTGTCATACTCCTGAATCAATGGCAAACGGGTAGAAACCGAACGGCTTCTGGAGTTTGGTCATTGCGTTTGGAGTCGTAGAGTTGAGAAACAGCGCCTTCTAAAGCAGGTTGCATTAGAATAAAACATCTAGTTATATCAAGGAAATATATCTGTTAGCCGAATGGAAGCTACATTTCTTCTTTTCCCGTTATACCTTTAACTCCAGGAGTCGATATTAACAAACAACGCTGCGTGCCTGGCTACTCCATCTTAGAGGTTGAGTTACAATGCTCGGGAGAATTTAACATTAGGCCCGGCCCATTTCTACTGCCCCTCATGACATCAAAAGTTTCCTTTTCAATTTATCTTTCCAAACTGGCGACTTGAGTACCTACGTTGTTGGGACGATTCAGATGACTTTCTAGCTCTCAGTTCATACGCTTGGGATTGCATCTCTTGCCAACTACCAATACGCGCTCTGCGATTCCGCTTTCTAGCCCCGTCCACCAACATAACTACCCTCCGGCTCCCGCAAAATCCGGCACCGCGAGTCTGCTACCTTTTGACAGGACCAATGCGAACGTCCCCCAACATCATCATCACCGGCACGCCTGGTGTGGGCAAGACCGTGCACTGCGAACAGCTCGCGCAGGAAACGGGTCTAAAGCATCTTTCGATCAATACAGTCGCAAAGGAGCGAGGTTGCCATGACGGATATGATGAGAAGTTGAAGAGCTGGATAGTGGACGAGGACAAGGTACCAATTTTTTCTTTTCCTTACTACTACGTGAATAGTTCCTGCGGAAGCTGACGGTTGTGCTGTAGCTACTAGATGAAATTGAAAATGAGGTTGCGCAAGGCGGGTACCTGATCGACTGGCATGCTTGCGATTTGTTTCCGAAATCGTGGATTGATCTTGTGGTTGTGCTACGCTGTCCGTCAACATCGATTCTATATGACCGACTCGCTTCCAGGTACGTACTGGGGCTTTCTTTTTTATTTCGGTAGTTGCTAGTTGAAAAGGCGCTTTTGGTGGGCTGACGAGACAACCTTTTTAGGGGCTACGGGGAAGATAAGCTGCAAGAAAATCTCGATGCTGAAATTTTTGAAGTCCTACTCGATGAAGCGCGACAAGCATACGACGAAGAAATTGTTGTCGAGTTAATGAGCGAGAATGATGACGAAATCGAGAGCAATTGCTCGAGGATCGTTTCTTGGATAGACGCCTGGCAACAGAATCGCACGACTACGGATGGGTGAAAGAAGAACGAGCTACCGTGCATGACCAAATCTTTAACAAGCCAAGGTGCACGAGTTTCTCAAAGCTGCTGCTTCTTCTGCTGCTCTATGATCCACTGTCTTAATTTCTGAAGCGCTTTATATCGATGGGAAATCATATTCTGGATCGTCGTTAACCGCAGAACCTCAAGCAAAAACGCACATTTCGGAAAGGAAACTCGGTATACCTTTTAATTTGGGATCCATTTCGGCGTAAGTTTTCCCTTGATATTC